AGCACATTGTTAATCATCAGATGTTTGGGGGAAGCTCTGTTGGATTAAAAAGACTTTTGAATACAAATAAATGATATGATTGTTGTTTGTGTCATGCAGAAAATATCCTCTCCAACACAACTCTTTCCAACAATGACCAATGTGGAAAAAGAACGAAAGGTTAAACAAGAATATTTAACTCTTAAAAGAAGAGGAGATGCAAACAAAATCCATACCCCAACAACCTCTGTACTCTGAAATGAAGAAGAATCATCCCAAATAAAACTGTGCTCGAATATCTGTAGGAATGGTTTCAGGACAGGGTGCTTGGATACTATATGGTTTCTCCCATGGATGTGGCTCGTTGCTTTTTCCTGCCTGTTAAGAAGACATCACATTTCTTTACCTTTTGGTTCTGTCCCCTCTTCTTTCTTGGCCATGGCAAAATGTGCCATATATAGCCTTGTTCCTTCATCAAATATCTCAGTAATAATGTCTGTTAGTGTTTATGTATTGAAGGAGTCTTTCAAACCATCTGCTTTCCAACTTGTATTAATTATTATTATTATTATTTATTTAATTTGTATGCCGCCCACACTACCCAAAGGTCTCTGGGCGGCTATTAAGTTAAAGTGTGTAGAATGCAGGGCTGGCCAAGTTATTTTGACATCTGAGGCAGAAAAACCACCCACCCACCTCTCTCTGGATCCTAATTTAACACAAAATAATGGTTTTCTCTTTGCTTGCCCCAGACCTGTGAACTGAGAGGAAAAGAAGGAAGGCATTAGTCCTCTAGAAAAGGGTGGAAGGTCATCTGAATGACTGGCTCCTACTTGTTCAAGAGGCTCTTACAGTCTCCTGATATCCCACATTCATCCTGACTCAAGAATTTTAGAGCTCTGGCCCAAAAGGGAACCTCTTTGCAAGCTCTGGGGAAAAAGCTATCTTTGAAGAACATCCCTGTTTTGAAATGTCAGCCATTTCCCTTACAAGACAGACAACCGCTACCAACACTCTTTCTACAAATCCTTCTAAAATCTTTTCCCATCCAGGAAAGGGTAATGTCATTGTCATGGGCTACCCTAAGGGACCCTCAAAGATTAATACAGACCCTCCTTCTTCTTCTTCACCAGTCATCACGAAGAGTCCTCCTGACCACGTGAAGGCTCAGCCTGATGATTAACTGTCACTTGGTTGGAAGAAAAACAGAAGCTCTCCAGGTAGTGACCTCATTCTGACATCAGAGAGTTCTCTTTCTGTTTGGCCTGGGCTGTACCCATGCCAACTGTCGGAACCCATCAATCTCTGTCATAAGGAAACCATAAATCTGAATCTTCAACAAATCAGAGTGTTGGTCCCATAAAAGATGTAAAGAAGGATCTGTTGTGATACGTAGCTATGGCGACTGAGGGGATTCTGGGATTCCCAAAGAAGAGGGCCATTTCCAAATTGTGGTATACCTGTGTTGCAAGACGTGCCATCTTTCAGTAACAAATATATTCAAAGGGGTTTACAACATAATCAGACAGAAAAATAACAGCACAAACCTGCTGGAGAATAACAAAATATTTCATAACCAGTACATAAAACATTGACTTATTTGCTTTCCCCCACCGCTTTCTTTCTTTCTTTCTTTCTTTCTTTCTTTCTTTCTTTCTTTCTTTCTTTCAATTCACTTTTTCCCACTTGGACTCCCCAGCCCACGTTGCAATTTCTTCCAGCACATTTTATGATTTCCTGTAGCCCACGTTGCAATTTTTTGATCTCTTTACAGGGGGAAAAAAGAGATCCAAGAAATCAAAAGCAAAGTTAAATCTAGATTAAGAGTGCTGAATGACCAACAGGGCAGCAGACTGGGGTTGTCCTAAGCTGGGCACATCATGGGAAAGCAAGATTCTCTGGAAAAGACAATATTGCTGGAAAAGGTTGAAGGCAGCAGGGAAAGAGGAAGGCCCAATACGAGATGGATTGACTCAAACAAGGAAGTCACAGACTACAATTCGCAGGGGTTGAGCCGGGCTGAGGGGGACAGAACATTATGGAGATTGCTTATCCATATGATTGCCATACGTCAGAGGCAGCTTGATGGCACAAAATGCCAACAACAATACAGTGGTGCCTTGCTTTATGATTGCCCCGCATTACGATGAAACCGCATTACGACATTCTTTTTGCTATTGCAAGTGCGATTGCAAAATGATGGTCTGAATAGGAGTTTTTCGCTTTGTGATGAGAAGTTCCCTGCTTTGGGGACTGATTCTTCGCAAAATGACGATTTTTGAACAGCTGATCGGCGGTTTCAAAATGGCCACCGGGTAAATAAAATGGCTCCCTGCTGTTTTCTGGGACGGATTCCTCGCAAGACAGCCACCAAAAATGGCCGACTTATGGAGGATCTTCGCTGGACGGTGAGTTTCCAGCCCATTGGAATGCATTGAAGGGGTTTCAATGCGTTTCAATGGCTTTTTATTTTCGCATCACAATGTTTTCGTTCTACAGCGATTTTGCTGGAACGAATTAACGTCGTAATGCGAGGCACCACTGTAATCAGACTGCTGTATATGACTATATTAACCTACTAACATTGGTGTATGTCCTGAATTCAGTTGAAAACGTTGAGATCATACCCTTCACATCCCCTTCAAAGATGCAGCAGAATTATTTGTCTTTGAAGGAGTTAACTTATTATTACTTCCTGTGTATCCCTGCTGTTCCCTTGCCAGAACACAAAATCATGGAGCAGGATGGCCTTCTCCCACATGAACTTGCCTTGATTTTGTTTTTAAAGCCTTGTCTAGCTGGGATGAGAAACAAGGCCTTCTCAGTGACAACACGTAAATTCAGGAACTCTTTCACCCTAGAATGCCCCCTTCCTTAGCAGTCTTCTGCTGAGTTTCAAAACCATTGTTACATTAGATTATACATATGGATTTAAATTTCCTTCTGCAAAGCATTTCAGTGGGCATGATTTTAAGCTTTTGCTTTCACTTTGGATAAATTGCTGGATTTTGGACTGAAACAAGTTGTTGTTTTTTAACTATAGTAAACTATATTGAAGTATATCTGATCCAAATACTGTACTGTACTTCCAAATGTCAATTCCTGTAATGCAATAATATTTGTAATTCCAAATCTAAAAGCAAAGATACCTGCTTTCACAAAATCTGAAGGTAAGGGTGGGTGGGTGATACCTTTATTAGGCCACCAAAAAATCGCAAGCATAAACCAGCTTTCAACCTGACACAGGTCTTCATCCAGTTGGGCTGTGGATGGGCTCTGTTTTGACATGTCTGATGAAGACCTGTACGGTGTTGACAGATAGGTTATGTTTTTGATTTTATTAGTGGTCTAATAAAAACATCATCTGCCTTTGCTTTCAGAATGTGTAAAAAGACTCCTCTTCCTTTTCTGCTTTTATATAGGGGACCATTCAGTCAGGTGGAGCCTCACACCTATAATTTGAAATGATACCTGGAAATTTCCTTATTTCTAAGAAAGATGAACCATTCTTTATTACATTTTACTCCATCCTTTTTTTCTCTCTCTCTCTCTGTGTATCTATACATGGCTGTTGTTATCAGCCCAAACTTGCCCCCTATATCTAGTTTTGTTTGCTCCATGCTGTACAGCTGGGTCTGTACTGGAAAATAAATTTCATGGCCCTGAATAATTTTAATCATGAGCTGATGTTAACCTGTCCAGTTTTCAATCTGTTCTAAAAGTACAGAAAGCAGGTAAGAATTTGTGCCCTATTTTAGCTTCTGAAATTAGCCATGAGATGAATAGGTTCGGGAGGGGATATGAACCCACTTTTTGTAAAAGGTAGAAAACATCTCCTTTGGATGCACTTCTGCTATCTCAGCTAAGAATCTTGGAACGGCGTTTTACCAGATATCTTGGACTGAAGGGAAAAACACCCTCAGAGCCTTAACAGAAGTCGCAGGTTTCTTTAGTTAAGATTTACCACAGACACCGTAGGACTCTTTTACAAAAAGGAGAAGACATAGATTCTCCAGAGATGCAAAGCAAACGTTTATCCAGTAGGGGGCTCCCTTGGCTTACAGCAAGTACACGTGGACGCCAAAATACCCGCTGGGGAGCTGATGCGTGTCTGGGAAAAGAGCGCCTAATGTGGAGAATATGCAGAAGGATAACAGAATCTACCAATCCATGATGAAATATTGCCATTTGAAAGCCCTCTTCCTTTTATTTATTTTTAAATCGCTATTAAAGGGTTTAATTTGCTCATCCCCACCCTTCCACCCCACCCCCCGTCCTATCCGTGGCGGAAGATTGATGGGAATTGTGTTTACATTTTGACGCGGAGCGCCGAGAGTGCTTCACATGTGAAGTACCCGCCGCCGCTCTTGGGGAAATGGTGGCGTTATCGAAATGGTGCCGCAGTCCCTGAAGGAAAACATACTTCATTTGTAATGAACGTTATGTCTGCAGAAACTAATGGCACAACCTCCTCTTTGGTTTAT